TTTTTTTTAATAAATGTATACTTTTTTCAGCAAAGACATATTAAACGCATCAAAAGTGACAGTAAAAACATTTATAATTTTACAAAAGATTTCTATTTCAACTAAATGCTGAAATGCTGTTCTTTTGAACTTTCTATTCATAAAGGAATACTGAAAAAAACTTCTACAAAAATACTGGGAAAAAATACTACATATTCTCAACTGTGATAATAAATGTTTTGTGAGCACCAAATGTGACAATGAATACTGAAATTCAGCTTTGCCATCACAAGAATAAATGATATATAATAAATTATATGTATTAAAACATTTTCCATGTATGTATTAAAACAGTTACTGTAATTGTAATAGTATTCTCAAAATATTACTGTTTTTACTGTATTTTAATCAAATAAATGCTGCCTTGGTGAGTGGAAGACACTTTTCCTACAGACACATTAAAAAAAATCTTACTGACTTCTTATTGAATGTGAAAGGATCTGACAGCAATTGTGATCTTTTCTGCCTCTCTATTTCGGTTTATTTCAGACTTGGAAATGCATTGTGCTTAACATGTTATTGCACAGCCAATACAGCCAAGGCTGTATCAGCCTCGGTATCAAAAGGAACTCTGGGAGATGATTAAAAGAAGGGATGAGAACTGTTATGGGAGACAGCAAGCAGGGGGCCTCTTAATGTTTGAGTTTCATTCACATCAGCCCCAGCATTTGACTCCCTAAGCAGCGCTTCCCTCCTGAAGAGTCTCTTCAATTATTACCCTCCAAGCTCTACCGCAGCACCGGGGCCTAATGTGTCAAATACAAAGTTGGAGGATGTCGCTCGAAGGAAATTAGATAATGAAAAATCTGAACCTTATGAATTCTAAGCAACTTTCAATATATACACTTGCCCTCACAAATAACTTGTCATACATACAATGAGAGAATAAGCAGATAGTAAAACAAAAACTGAAAGCAAGACTTAAAAAGAATCTACTAATTACATAAAAACTAAACGCACATTACATAAGAATTAAAACGTTAAAATCATTGTCTGGTTTAAGCGAGAAACGTTTCTAACCATGAGCTTTGACAAAGTAGCACAATCCACTTACTTTGTGGTAGTATTTCATCACTGTTAAAAGGGATTGTGCGTTCATCTAAAATCATCAAATCACTATTTGGAAGGGTAGTTTGAAGTGAACTCAGCCAGATGATGCAATGGGATGACATGGTCGTCTACAAGAAGTTTCTACAGTTTATGTGGATGAAGACTGTGTAGTAATAGCCTAATAGTCAAATGCATCCATTTGATAATGAATTAAAAATGTAAAAAAAATCATTGATGTTTAACATAAAATAAAGACAGCATCAATGAATCCATTTGCAATCATAAACTTTCTCGGCTCTTTTGAGGCAGCTCTGTCACTACCCCGGCCGCAGGTTTCTGTCACACCTACACAACTGCAACCCATTTTGCTATAAACACAGCTCATTGCCAACTTTGCAGAAACAAATAGACAGACAGAGGGACAGTGACAGGAAGACTGGCAATCCGTCAGGCTATATCTGATGCAGATGGCATGGCTGATAAAGAAAATCTGTCAGGTATCTGAATTGTGTCTCGTTTAATGCCACACAGCTAGACAATCCAAAACATGGCATTGAATATTTGAAATCAAGCTTTCTGTTTAGGCCTTGGTGGAAAACATCCAATTGATACCAGATATGATGAAATATTCTGCGGTGGGTTGCTGTAAATGCAAAGTCGAGGACAAATAAAGCACATAGAGCCAGCAAGGCGGTAAAGCATGCTTACCTTTTCGACCATTGTCATGGCAGAGCCGCCATGGATTCCCAGTATGGGCATGGAAGTCTGAGAGGAAACAAAGTCCAGCATCTGTGCCACGGCTTCCTGGTCCGTGCCGTCTCCATAGACCAGCCCGTGCAGCCTCTGTCGGGACATGAGCTCACACAGGTGTGTAAGCATGCTTCCTGGGTCCGTCTGGTTCACCTGGACGCTGAGAACAGTCACATCCAGAGGTGCACCTATCCCACGAGCCGGACGCAGGGCTGATTCGGATACGGTGGGGGTTTGGCCCAGTATCACAGCTACACTCAGGGATGGAGGTTTCTCTGCGGCCTGCGACCAACCCAGCAAAGCCCATAAGACCATCAAGCAGACTACAGCTCCCATCATTCCTGGCTTCAGCCCCTGTTAAGATGAGAAGTTTTAAAAAGATGCAAAACACACTCAGTCTTATCAATCAGGCTTACCAGATCTCAATAGGCCAAATCAGATAACGCACATCCATAAATTACATTCGCCCTGTTACTTTGCACGCAATGATTCAGTGAAGTGGGACTGGGAAGCGAATCCGGAAGACAAGCTTTTAAAAGTTAAGATGATATGGCACTCTGTTCAACTACTCAATCATTTCAAGTCAATACTTTTCAATTAGCCTAAACAGTTAAATGGAACAGTGGTTCACTTATTAGCAATTAACTCTGATGTAATGTCTTACAATATGTCATCGTGGTTGCATTTAAATGGCCTGTCTAATTGATAGGACTCTTCAATAGCTTATAACGATTCTAGGCGGAATTTGATGCCCGAATGATTCCAGATGGCTAGTGTAGCTGTCTCTTAAATTATAGTAATAATTGATGAAACCATGCACTAACTGGAGTGCATTATAACTTCATGAGTGAAGAACAGCTTACACATGGTTAAATTTAAGTGCGTTGATGTCAGCGGTTCAAAGATGTTTCAATCTCAAAAGATTGAATGTAGAAGTCAACTTTGGAATTAAGGAAATTGTACTTATGGCTTAAAGGAATCGTTCACTCCAAAACTCAATCGGCACCTATCCCTATTCATTTTCACTGTAAGGAAAACAGCAGTGTGAACGTACTTCAAATAAATCTCCTTTTATGTTACAAAGAAAAACCATACAGATTTGGAACGACTAAACAGTGAGTGAATAACTGACAATATTCTTTTAAGGTAAAAAAAAAAAAGATATAGATTTTTTCCTGTTCATTTGGCTCCTTTTATCAAGGTAGAGATACTTTGCTATCAAACATGCTTTGATAGCAAGATTGATCGAATTCACTCTGAGCTTTTCACTCTCAGAAATGTCACTGGATACACCTGCTTCATCCCTGGAGTTTAGTCATCAGTCATATTTGCACCTCCATTTCATTCACCGACTACCTTGGGCCATAGCCAATAACCACAGATGAAAAAGTACTCCGATGATGTTGAGAATTATAACAAAAATATATTAACTAGTACAGTCAAATATCCTGTTTCTTATTTAACTCTGGTTGAAAATGTCATTGGTAACACACAAGCAGGGCATATATACAGCAGCATCATGAAATCGTGTCAGTTTGTCTCTTAATATACTGTATGTGCCAGGGCATGTAATTGAAAATCAATACTCATGACACAAAAATCAATAAAATGAAATAAACCCTTCAGTCTCCACAGCTTGAAATTTGGGAGTTTGTTTGGGGTGCTCAGCAATGAATGATGTGATAAGAATGTGCTGCCATCAGCTACTACGAGTACTACCATTTTTTATCACCAGTCCTCAACAAAGGACAAAGCTTAATACAGAAGCTCATGAATGCACAGCTTAATAGAAAAAGTCCTACATTGGAATATTAGATGGAATATATTGCAAATACTTACTGTACATGTGGGTAGTTGAAAAATAATAGGGACATGAACATTTTCAACATCAGCACATTTTTAATAATTTTATCTGCATTTCATTAAAAAAAAAAAAAGTCCTGCAATGTGACAATTTTTTTAAATATAAATATTACATATAGTCTTTTAAGGAAGCAATATATATATATATATATATATATATACACACACACACACACATACATACAAGCAATTAAATGAGTATGCTGATTTTTATTAGTAATTTTAAAATCACAACATTGATATAGCAATGCATGAGCAGAAGTGGATGACTGTTACTGCCTGATGCATTATATAATTCCTCCTACAATGTCATTTTTGAATAAATGAAGCAAAGACTTGTTTAACACTTGACAAACTAATAATTTATTGATGCGTTTTCAATTGTTGGCAAACACTTATAGCAGATAGTAAGAGGGTTATGCTTCTGTCAGCTTAAACATTCAGCTGTATTGTGAAACATACTAATTAGTGCCAATCACATAATTGCCTAATTGCTTTCTTAATGGTTGCACTGGTAGTTTGTGAGGGTCCAAAAGTGGTACATGCCTCAATGACCACATTTGAGATTCCAGAGACAGGCAGTTGTGCTCTGTTACCTCTGTAACTTTCTCATTTAGTATACTTGCTAACATCCATAATTGGCATACTCACAGAGCTACCCCAGCAAAGCAACCATGCCCTTAAGTCTACACCGGACTAGCACTTCGCGTTTGCAAATGCAGTGCATCACTCTGCATCTCGTTCACTCGTTCTGCATGTGCATCTGTCAGATTTGTTGGACGTTTTACAAGTAAACGGTGTGTAATGTTTTCAGTCACATTAGACATCACCTTCACCCTAAGCTTGCTACAACTGAAGAGCAGCCAAGGATCAAAATAGAGACAGTTCATTTCACTTACATACAAAAACAGACCCATGGATTTTTTTACGCATCAAAATTTAAGCAACGCTGCCAAAAACGTCTTGTCAATAGGAGTGTTTGTACGAGTGAGGTGTGAGTATATGCCTGGAAGTACCAAACACAGTTTTGATGGTCTGTCACAGCCCATATTTCATAATTCAAAACCACAGCATAAAGTGCCAAGTGCAGATCGGCTCCTCTGTTAGCAGAATATCACCGCTGAGATCACTTCTCTTCGCAGGCGAATGGGGAGGTTGTGGGTGGATTTCTGAGTTTGACTGTGTGGAAAGGTGGAGGGGTCAATAGTTACGAGTAATAAGCACCTGCACTAGGTCCTCCTCCCCCATCCATTTCTTTTTCTGACCAACATGTACGCTCACATAGGCTATTCCTTCTGTTTAAGGTCCAAAACATATTCTACAAGTTTTTAAATGCAGACGGTTTACAAAATGTGTAGAAAACTGTGGTATTACATAGTCCGTTTTCTCTTTCAGGTCAATACTGTTATGGTGAAGCAACAGTTTGAAGAAAATCTTGCTATGCAAATTTAAAGTCCGTACATATTATAGCAAATTTCATTTTAATTGCCAGAAATTTTGAAGGTAACTCCATTGCCCCCTTGAATCCTGAGGTTTGGTACCACCACAACAAGTACATTCAACAGGGCAGCGCATTAGCCAAGTGCTCATGTCTGCGTTCACGTATTTGCTTAAATTATGTTCCTGGCCTAAGGCATCACAATAGTTGGCCCAATATAGCAAATGTAAGAATGCATTGCTGTATATATCTGGGCGTTCAGTTAAGATCATTTTATCAAGACGTGCATAAGTGTCTCTATACATTAATGTGTGGGAAGGGAGCGGGCGGTTTTGAAATATTTCAGCTTCTAAAATTGTATCCTCCATTGCAGGAAAGACTATTTCAGGACTGGTCCTGTAAGCAAGAGGAAAACATCAAAAATGTGCTTGGACAACGTGACTGCACCCAAATCTGCAAGTACCTCATTCCCCGTTTAGACCGAACCCGCGAAACAACGGCGCCCCCTGTCGGATCTCCCTGCCAGCCACTTCACACCTATTACTAAAACGTTCAATATTTAAAACGTATCTTACCTTGCGTGTCACGAGGTGTCAGTGAAGAAGACTCGCCGTGGTTGAAATGTGCCATCTGTGAAACTGACCGACGTCTTGTGAATGTTATCCACGAAGATTTCCTCACAGAGAAGGCGCGTTTCTCGGCGCATTTTTTTTTCCAGACCTTCGGCGAACCACCTTGACAGGAGCTTAAGTGTTCAATGTTCTGGAAAAAAGGTCAACCAAAATCCTTACACCAGGGTAACAAAAATGACAGAACTCATTATTTAGTGTATTTCTATAACTTCGCGCTCGTGTTCAGTAGTCTACGAGCGAAAAGCCACACCAAAAGGCTTCGCGAGTGGGCAAACTGATCTGCGTGGAAGCGTAACGGTTCCCCCGCACAGAACCAAGTCACCTCAGAGGCTGACTACAACACCACATAACCGTGTTTCAAACAACACCTATTAGTGAGCTTCGAGAGTGAAGTCAGTGATTGAAAGGTGTGTGAGAGACCCGGCGTGTTTAAATAACGGCCGGTGTGGTATTCCCCTCACGCGCGCGCGGGGTTTGTCTCTATGTAGGGCGCTCGCTCGCGCAGCAGGTGTTGCGCATCAAGACGGTTGAAGTAATTTCTCCCGTCACAAAAATAAACCGACGATTTCGTCAACGGGAAGCTTCCCGACTCCCAGTTGGCTATGAGAGAGCGAGCTCACATTTGGTAAGGCAAAATAATACGTTTTTTGATGTTTTATTGAAAGTAAAAAGAGAACAACTCACCTAATATCCCCGTTATACATTTCCAATACACCAGTCAGGAAATTAAACCGCGTCCTCGGTAGTCTTCATCGTATAACCTTGATCTTTCTTTATAAACAAATCCGTCAAGTTCAGCGCTCTTAACGGCGTAATTCCACCAGTGTCCTTGTGTTTACCGTGTCCATTCCTTACAGAGATTAACCAGAAAAGGGAAAAGGAAAAAACGTTCAGTGATTCAGTCGACATACAACGACCACATGGATTTTTTTTCACCTTAATATTTTTTTTTTTTTTCTGAGACTCGGGTGCTTTCCGCAGTGGAGCTTGTGGAACAGGTCCGTGTGCCGCCTCTGAGGGGGATTCCGTCAATATCGCATCCTTTTGGAGAAAACGACAGCAACGCGCTGTATTCAGTCGTTAAAACGTCGATAACGGGGATGATGTGTATTTTGGATAGAGATTCCTCTGCGACACCATCGACTGAACTCGAGACATCATGGCAAACTGTCGAGCGCATGTACGCTCCTTAACATATCAGCGCGGAATTGAGACCGTACTTGCCAATGCCTCCCACGCGCTCCGCGCCAAATTCAACTCAATTCTCTTACCTTGCCACCTATAATTAAACACAAACATACGTTTCATATACGGATTTGCTGTCTGTCAATGCAAACAGACTAGTCTTATCGCTTAACTATTTGAGGAAATAATTTGGTTATGAGGCGCGTTCATATTTCCATCCAACTTTACAGACCATTGCTCTCAGACGCACACTCCATGAATCGAGTAGATGGTAGATTGAGTCTCTCTCTCTCTCTCCATCACACACATGAATACAGTCAAGTGATAATGAGCACCATTAACGGTCCATGCGCACGATGGGCGCGTCAAAACTGTGGAAAATTCTCAATCACACGACGCCTCAGTAAACAAGTAATTTTCCCGCTCGATGTTGCAAAACCACGTCCCATCCACTGTCGCCTCCACGTGTTAAAGAGAGCAAAACAGTTCAACGAACCGACTTCTGTCAGTCTCAATGAAAACGGTGATTTTGGGCTTGCTCCGTTTGCGCCCAAATTGGTGGTTCGTTATGAGTCAGACGCTCCCAGCTGTGTAATTTCCCTGTAGGAAATCCACGGGAGCCGTTATGATCCTCAACTCGTGCAATTAAATCAAATGATTTTATGCTCTAAGATCATTCACCCAGTCAAAGGAAAACTACTTGACAAGTCTATTTAAAGTCTTTTAAATTTAAGATTATGACCGCGTGTTTAAGTATAGATGTACAGAAGGCACGTGTCCCCTCAGATTTTTGAGCCAAGTGGATTTTAATGCAAATATCTGTATCTTTAAAAAACATTAAGCTGCACCATTACTGTGGGTTTTTAAAAAAAGTGTTTGCCTTCTGGTCATGTCTAACCTTACAAAATCTGCTAGACAGAAAATTCAGCAGATTACCACATAATTCATAAAATGCAACACCATCTGATTCCTTTACCTGAAAATAAAGAGTACAATACTCTCAGCTATGTTTTATTACATTTTACTGTATTGAAATTAATTTTGAAGATTCTCCCCCCCAAAATAACACAGAAAATACTTAATAAAAAAACACCACAGATTCCACCTGGGCCTAGTCATGTCTTATCTGGCCTAGGGTACTGAATGAGTCAGAATTGCCACTGGTGCCCCCTGAAACAAAACTCACTGTTTAGATATATTTAAAATAATGACACATTTCTACTCTAAAAGCGATGGTTGAACCTTATTTGAAACATTAAGATCAGTTTATCAGATTTTTTTGAAAGCATTTGTAGCACTTTATACTGCTATTCACAACACAGACCAGCCCGCCCACTATTTTATGGTTACCAGGAAACTACGTTTCAATATGATGTAACACTACAAAACCATTTAAAATATATATCATTTAACCATTTAGCATAAACACACAGGCATGCATCCGCAAACTATGCCTCAGGAACGTTCTTTGTCTTGCTGTTTGTCCTCACAAGCATTATAATTACTCATTCTTTATAGGTCAACCTTTACATACTAATATATTCATGTTTAGAAATTACCCACTTTGACAGCCTACTTTCCACACATTGATTTTGAAGAAATACAACCATGCAAACTACTATAAAGTAGATCTGACGTATCTAAACTCATATACATCATAGTGTACTGCTGCTTTTTGTTACCCCCAGCATTTTTTGTCTCACTCATCCAACCAATCATGTTTCAGAATAGGCTGGAAAAGGACGTTTTACAGTCCAGTGAACAAATTTCAAGATGATAAACTTTACCATTTGTAACAGCAGGTCCATTGTGATTATCCATGTCTGTGTATCTAATTTTGGAAACCTATGCCCATTATCTGCTTGCTTGAGCAAATAATGCAAATTCATGGCTCAAAGGGAACTCTGATTTGCTTTGGCAGGAAAGATCTTCCTTTTCTTTTTCAAATCATACATCATCTCATATACAGAACACATCAGCAAATGTTTCAGGACATTTACAGTAGCAGAATCTAAAACTTCCAGTGGCTCAAACAGTAGAGAATGGAGCTAACAATGCCAAGGTCGAGCGTTCTGATAAAATGTATTTCTTGAATGGAAAGTAAATTGCTTTAGATAAAATTATCTAACAAATGCATGCTTTCTGGAATGTATTTCTGCTATCCATTCTATTCATTAATTCGTTGTCTAATTAACACAGGTTTGTGTTTGTGTGGGCATGGAAGCAGTATTGAAGCCCCAGAGTATCTGTAACAATTATTAACAAATCTTTTATACTGTGTGTGAATCACTCAAGACACAAGCACTTATTTGCTTGTATTAAATCAGCCCTAATGCAGAGTTAAACTGGGTCAAATTAGGAGTTGTTTACTTATTAAATGAAAGCCCAGAACTGACTTGAAAGGAGTCGCAGGTAATTATCCAGAAAGCTCATAATGAAACAATTTTACGACTGAGATAATAAATTTTAGACATTTTCTTTTAAGGAGAGAGCTAAATGATATGCTTTGGCAACAGACACAAGCTCATGTTGACTAATGAAGATCCCTTTTCCTTGGACTGTTTGGATTTACAATAAACATTTAATTTCCCACATCTCACATCCACTAACAAACATCAATAAATTGTAATTCCGACACAGACAAAATAATGCAAAATAAGTAAGAAAACAGCTACAGCATCACAAAACATGCACAACTTCATGAATAAATGAAGAAGGAATTAAGAAATAAAGGAGTAAAGAAGAAATGGAAGAGAGGTTTGCATGAGTCTGTCATGAGCACAAAAAAGTGGGAAAATTCTGTCTCCATGGTAACCCAATTTTTAGTGTCACCACTTTTGTTACCAAACAGACCATGCTACATTACATAAAACACACACTCACACCCCCCTTCACACACAGACAAATGTGCGCACACACTCGCAAACATACATTCACTCAATAGAACAGCAGTTTCGCTCTAACAATAGAATTTGCCTGACAGTTTTAGCTTTGACGCACTATAATATCTCTAGAACATAGCCATCTTTTGTAATTACTTTATTTTTTATTAAAAGTAGTCCGAGAGCAAACTTTAACACCCTATCTATACCAGAAACCTCTTGAGCGATTCAAAACGAAACACTAAGACAGTGTTTACTATAACGTTAATTATGCAGTTATGCATTTGCAATTAGTTTAAATTAAATCTAATCTTAGTCCTAATGCATCTTTCTTTATACACAACATGACAAATGCACTCACACGAGCCCTGATGTGCATGCATGGCCTCACGTATAACATGCATGCTTTCACACATACTGTGAAAATCACATTCTGCAAGAGAGCTCAAGAGAGATGTTTATAATGTCTTTAAAATGATCAAATTAAAATGTGAACCTATCTTCATCTAATTTATAATAATAGAGAGATAATGCAGAAAACAGCAACATTTGTCCTCGAATGCAGTGATTAATTCTCTAGAGAAAGCTTAATGTCTCATTTTATTTGCGATGTCATTTTGCAGGATGTCCCATGTTTGTAGTAAATAGTTCCAATTTATTACACTGATTCCTGTTTTATACGCTCAATGCAGAATGATACAGTACATTGTGTGAAATGATGTTGAATAATGGATGCAGTATTATCACAATGCAATGTGGAGGCTGCCAAGCAATTTTACAAGCAACAATACATACTAAATCAGAGGTCATCTCAGGCCAACACTGTCACTAATTCAATAACAAAAGCCATCACAAACACACACAGTACATCAAATATTAAAAACATAAACTATAGAGTTTTTCAGAGCTTCGTGTATTCAATATCCAGCACATGGTCATTAAATTAATTTGAATTCTCATTTTGTATTCAAAATAGTGAGCTTTGCAGTTTTAGCTAAATATGTAATTGCAGATGAGTGGAGGGGGAAATGTCCAAATTCAAACTGAAAGCATATGTATAGCTGAACTAGATGTCCTTTTTTTTTTCTCCAGGTCATTAACATATTTGAGACCCTTGTCACGTTTCTGGATTGGTCTGAAATTTGTCCCATATATAAAACAACTACTTTGTTAGGCCTACTGTTCTGGCAAAAAAATGTGACATCTGGTCAACATACTTATAGGATAATTTCCTTTTTGATGATGGTAATTTCAGTCAGATGATCCAATTAATGAGATGAATGGCGAGAGAATTTGAAGGCTCTTCTGAATACTAATGAGCAAGGTGTACAATATTGCAAGAACTCATAAACAGCCAGCTGGACAATGATATGCTCTTGTTTCCACACTCTTAAGAAAAATGGTTCTAAACAGTACCAGAAAAGGGTTCTTCGGCTTGTAACAATAGCAGAACCATTTTTAGTGCTAAATATTATTTGTATATATTATTTATTAATATTGTTTTTTTACCCCTCTATCTGCCTGGTCTTATAATATATTAAAGTGTCTATTAGGATTTTACATAAAATCAACAACAACAACAACAACGTGTCAATTAGGTACTTTTTTTAATGACGTGAAATTGTAGCAAAAATGACAGTGTTCTAACAACAGTTATTAGCAGAATACATTAATGAATGACAATGGACATTGAACATAAATAAATGCTTAAAGAAATAAAACAAAATAGAACATAAAATAATGTATTGAAGACCAAGCTCCAGTGAAACATCTTCACAATCCTCTATGATGCCTTTAAGTTAATCATTATCTGTATTTTGGTGTGACTGAGTGGCAGTTTCTCTCTGCAGATGACGAGGTTGTAGGATGTGACCGCATCGGAAATGCACAACTGAGTTTAGATATACAATGTGTCTCCGTTCATTTGTTTGTGAAAACAATTGCTTATGAAGGACAAAAGTAGTATGTGAGCACTTCTCAATGTTAAAAGGAAAAAGTAATATAAAGTCAAGGGATAGCTGGGTATGTTTATGCATAAACCCTAGTAATAAAAAATATCCAACAAAATGGACCAAAAATTCAATATCTTTGTTACTTACTTAGTGAAGAAGAGGAGAGTATCCTTAACTGAATAGAGCTGATCACACTTACATGTTCTCTTAAACTAAAAAGAGAAAAGACATAGGAAAACCAATTAGCATTTGAGAGTTATAATGTATAGACATTTTAAGAAAGAAATTATTTATCTGTTGAGAGTGGACAGTCTGTGTAGTTGGATGGCTGAGCTCCAGAAAATCAGTAATGAGGCATCTAGGAGTGTCGCCTCGGTTAAGGTTTTACATTAAAACAACAACAACAACCACAATAACAACAACAGCAGCATGTTGTGTGAATTATGTTTT